GATGTAGGAAAAAAAATAACGAATGATTTAGATTGTTGATTTTAAAATATTGTCAATGATGTAGGTTTATTAATGTCTTTAAAAGATTTTTCCAGTTTTTCTAGAGATGTCATTATGCTTGAATATTTGATCATAGTATTTTTTCCTAGTAGCTGGTAAATATAAAAATCAATTTCATTTAGGAAAATTTTTCTTTACTATTTGACTTTTCCTTAGTCCTTTTAATGTTTTTATTATACAGTAATATAATAAACATTAGTAGACAGCTGTCATTTAAAAAAACCTGACTCCATTCTTTCTCCATCTATTCACAGAAATGTACCATCGATTATCTTAGAAGTTCCTTAATATGGGCACATGGATAAAAAGAGACTGGGGTGGGAGGTGGGAACTGTAGGAACTCTTACGAGAAGCAGTGGATTTTTTTTCAGTTCTGGTGTTCCAGGGTAAAAGTGAGAAGTTCCCATTTTCAGATGAGCGAACATCAGTTTCTCATAACTATAGCTGAAAAGTACAAAGTTCACTTGGGTACGCATAAGATCATCATGCTGATTTTGTAGCATCACAGAAAACTGTATGAAGTTGTTCAGCCCTCTGAAATAGTAAGTAAGTAAGTTTATTGTTGTAACCACAGGTCAGAACATATAGCCTACCATAAAATACAATAAAATAACAGTTGAATAGTAAGATTGTAAAATGAAGTAATGAGAAGAGTATTAGACGTAAGAAGCTTAAAAAAGATAAATCCAGAGCCACAACTAAGAATTTAAGCATTTCTTTCTAAGTTTAAAGGACAGCAAAGCAAAGTAGCAAGCTGGTTGCTAACAGCTGGAAACACGTCTGCAAGAAGATAGTTCAATTGTTCGAGGTTCGAGCCCTTGAGTTCACCTATTGTCAATATTTTGGCCCTAATCTCATTGGAAATGGGGCAGCAGAGGACATAATGAATAATCTCCTCCACTTGAACAACTACAAGGATAGAGACATAATTTGACAGGACACTTACAAAATCTCCTTCGAGATATGCAGAAGGCATGATCTGCAGGCAGAGGGGTGTTAAAGCCCTTCTCACTTACCAGTGAGGCACTGGTAATATTAACCAGGTACTGGAAGAAGCTTCTATGTTTTTTATAGTGATGGTACCAAGATGAAAATTTGGATGATTGTACTGGCATCTTTATTGGCATCCCTTTCAAAAAGTCTATCTCTAATATTTTCTCTGTTCCAAGAGCTAACTTATTCCAAAGGTGGTAGGGAATATATCTGTAGGATGGGTAACAAAAATTTGGTCTATTGATTCTCAACTGTGTAATGGAGAAATGGAGTTTGGCAAGATGGGAATCTTATAGTGCATCAACAATGCCAGATGTAGCCCTTCCTCCATCCTTAGGTAAGCAGTGGGGATGGCCTGGGAGAGGTCCAAGATCTCCCTTATGAAGTTGTTTTGGACTGCTTCCAATTGGGCAATAACCTTCTCGTTCCACCCCCAGATCTCAAATCTTCACCTTGCCCTGGAATATTTTAAAGGTTACCATCTGCATTCCTTTAGAAGAGAAAAACATCAGAATAGCACCCACCAAAATGCTTCTCACACTTACCATTCACTTCAGTGGAACACTGCAGATCCTTCTGATCTTTTGCATTCTGCTATTCACTCTCAGTGCAAACTGAAAATAATATATACTTTATCTGGTGGTGCTCCATCTGTTTGTTCTCTACTGTAATCAATGTGAATGGTAGCCTGATTTGGATTGAGACCACCTTATATGGGGAAGAGAAAAAAAATCTTAATTTTCCCCTTATCTCTTCGTTCATGTTATCCCTTATGTCTCTTCGTGTTTGCTTTCGTAGCTTCAGTTGGATAAAAAAAAAAATATGTGGGTTGTAAGTGTGAGTTTTTTAAAATGAGAGAGCTGGGGGGAAAGCAGAGCTGATCTGGATTCGCCATGGTGTGTTTAAAATGTAGTAAAGCTGGAGGTGGTGCAAGCTGAAGTTTGCACCATTCATAATACTTTTAAGCTGTAGCCCTATTTAAGAATTCATCTGGGCATATGGAACAGTTACAGTGGAACTGTTCTTGTTCACTTGAATGTTAGCCATCACAGTTTAGAACACTGATTTATTTAAGTTCCCAGACACGCTAGGGAGCGGTCCTCGATGTACAATTCTCATGGTTCTTCTTCAGACCTCCCATCTCAATGGAAGGAGGGTGGAAAAAGAAGGGCTGTGATTGAATGGTTTTGTTATCCCCTCACTTTGAGTTCTTCATGGGGTCCAGCAAAAAAACTACCATGATTAGATAGTACCTTTACTTTTAGGTGAAGTTCTATTAGAGGGGAGTTCAACTGATAGTTTTCCCTGATTGTTTTTACATACACAGTGGAAACTTAGTGCTGCTTTTAATAGAAATGAATGTTTGGATATTTATCAAAAGAATACCTGCATGGCCCCTAACTCATTTCAACAAATCATTGTTGGTCCCTCGTTTAAAGAATTAAAATAGCTGGTTATCATAGAATGCTAGTGGCAATTCAATTAATTTCAGAGATGGAGTGAAGCATCAGCTGAGTCAGACAGCAACTTTAAGGTTATTTTTAAAATTTTATCATTTCAGTTGCTGACCCAAATAAAGTGCCGCACATTTTTTCCCATGCTGCAGATCGGATTCTGCAGTTTAGACTCTGCTCCAGCCCTTGGACAAACAAATTCACTTGAGAAGGACAGCTGGAAGACAAAGAATGAAAGTTAAACCCTTTTATAACCCTATATGAGGAGCTCATATGTAGACAAAAGATACAGTACCAACATTGCAGTAAACAACAGGCTCAACCACTAAGCCATCTTTAAGCTAGTTGACCTAATTCAGAGTCCTTGGACTAATAAACATGTTTCAATGAAAACATGATCAATGTCTGCAGATTTATCCAAAGTTTGCAGTGCAGATGCTAGTTCAAAGATTGTGTACAAAATATATGTCCGAGGAGAAATAATGCAGATCAATGAATATTTTTGTGCATTTAAAAAAAAATGCTGGCTAAAATGGAAATTGGATGGAATTGATTTATGTTTAAATCTGTGAAAAGTTGACATGGACTGAGTAGTGATTGCTCCATCCACTGAGAGTTTATTGTGATATCTGAAATTAACCTTCCTGCAATTGATAAATCTTCTCACATTGCCTAGGAATGAAAATACTAGAGTGAACTAAACCACCCATGCCAGTTGGGTGGTGGAATATAATTTTGAAATGCTCCTTTCTTTGCAAATCAATAAATCCTTTATCTGAATAGAAGATCTATAGCCTAAGAAGAATGGGTCTAAGGTATTCAGTCTTAAGTTGCAAAAAGGTTGTTTTAATTGATTGATTGATTGATCATTTTTTATTTTAAGTGCATTAACTCTGCTAGAAGATCCTAATCCTCTTCACTCACTTCAAAAATATTTTTTTATTTGAATCAGAATCATTCTGCATTTTTCCTGCTGCTTTTAATTGTAATCATTCCTTGCTCTCTTTGACTCTGTTCTTTGCAACTATCCTTTTCTCTCTATATATATTACATTATATCTTTCTCTGATCCACATTTTTGTAGCAATCATTCTCTTAAATGCATTTCTTTCTCACCCACAGCCTTTTTTGATTCTTCATTTCACCAAGCATCATTTTTCAAACTTCCCATTAGTGTAACTCTATGTACTTCTGTGACACTCTGTAACATAATTATTTTTTCCCTGTATACTTCACTAATTCTGCCACCCTTTCATTATAAACAATCACATTAATCATATTTTTAGATTTACATTCATTCGTCATGTGAATATCCCTGGTCACCATTCTCATTCAGTGTTGGGTCTCCAAATGAATCAATACGATTTTTGAATTCTTTCCTCTCATACCTATTCACTCATTCATTTTTCTGTTGAATTATATTTGTCCAGAATGTTGCATATTCGACCCCCCCAACTCATCTCTGCTTCTTTCATTAATACATTCACAACAGCATAACATGCAACTAACATATGAATTCCTGTTTTTGCACATGTTCACAACAACCTGTGGGATACCAATTCATATTTTCAGACATGCATTTTAGTTCTTTCATTCATAACTAAACCTACACCTTCATTTTCCGGAATGCATTCCTCAAATCTGCTTCACAAGATTAGACTATCTTCATTTAGATCTATTACCTCCTCCCCTTTTCTCTTAGTTTCCCAAGATAGACAATGTATCATTGTCTTCCTTTCATTTGTTAATTCATGCTTTTTATTATTTGTTCATGATACATTGCAAATCACGAGCATGAGTATGCCGTAATTTTCTCCTGCCACTCATCATAATTTGGTCAATGATGATTGTTTCACATAATTGTATTAGTAATCTAGAGAAGGTGGAGACCAGATTACAGACTTAGTTGTCCTCATGCCCCATGCAGCATTTCCTGCTAACAATACGTACGGTATTGGTCAGTGCTGGGACATTTGGACCACTATGCTATAAGCACAAGGTCTTTTGCTACCTCTTCCATGTCCATGTTCTATGCAAGCTCGGATTTCTAATTTTGAGGCTATCTTCCAAGTTCACATATGGTTGTCTGCATCCCACTAAATAAGGGGTACATGCTAGGAACTGACATACAGTCAGGAGGTATTAAAATGTCCAATTCTTAATATACAAGCTACAGAGTTTGTAGGGCAGAACGCTTTATTGGGACTACAGAAAATTAGAATGAACTGTTTCTTTCCAGCTTCAACTGAAACAATAACAACATCTTATTCAGTGGAAATTGGCATATGAAACACAGAATTGGGCTCAAATCTTTTTCCTTAAGGAACCCACCTATAGATGTAGAATACATCATATTCTACATCTATAGCATGAAGTAATCAAGTTCTATGTATTGAGACCTGGCCTGTCCCCAAATAGCAGGTATAAATTATATTTACACATTATGTATGATATTTTAATATTTTGCTTCCTTTTTTCCCCCCTTCTTGAAAAGTCTGGAAGAAGTGAGAACGAAACTGGTAGCCAGAGAATCAGACCTGTGTTTGAAGAGGATCCTCTGTTTGGTCGCCAAACTTCATACCAACATGCCGCTGTCCATATACCAACTGATATATATGATGGCTGTAAGTATGGAGGATGCAATTTTCTTCAGTATCCCATTCCTGAAGGATGTAGCTTTGTCTTTCTTTGTAATAATGCATGGATTTTTTTAAAAAAATGTCTCCTTTCTGACACACACATGCACAAACATTTCATCTGGGCAGACAAACATTGATCAGGTAAGAACACAACAGACTGCATGGAACAGATCAATTTTCTGTGTTGACTAACATTATTTGGGGGATGATGTCATTATGTAAATGGCACACATTATCTTTCTGTTTTATTCCTTTTTGTTTTTTTCTTTTTTATTATTGTAAAATAAAAGAAAAAAGGAATAACAACAGCAACAAGAACAACCACACTGCTTGCTGATGCCATCATTTGCATCTTTTTGGAATGACACCATGGCAGAAAGGATGCAAATCTCCTTGAGTGACTTACTTTATGACTCAGTGGACACTGGTTCATAATGTACACCCCTCCCAGCCCTATTTAAACAACAATTCACTATGCAGTTAATAGGATTGTATATAGAAGCTTACAGACTTTCCCTTTGTAATTCAGTGTAGCACAGCTTTATGAATTTCACTGATCAAAACAAGGCGTTTGTAACTTCTAAGCTACCTTTTTGTACAAGTCTACTCAGAAACAAATGCCACTGAGCTCAGTGATGCATCCCTGATGCTTCCTGAGGTTGCTGTATAAGTTCACTCCAAGAATCAAACATATGCTGACCCCACCCCGAAAGACTTTTTGTCCCCCCGTGCTAGATGATTTCGCAGTAGCCTTTGCTTTGTAGGTTTAAAAGCCAAGAGGAGGGTGTAATGTTGGCTGAAGAAAGGGTTGAAAACAAAGCCAGACTGGACATCCTATGGTCATCTGGCTAACTTCCATAGCCTCCTATGAAAAATCAGTTTATTCCTCTCCAGCTCCCTACTAGGAAATAGAGGGTAGTGGAAATGACAGAAAGAGATTAAAAAATAGGTTCATAGTATCATCCATTTTTGGCCAGTGCAGAAGCTCCACCAAGTTACACAGTATGGAATGCTGTCCATAGCAGGAAAAAAGAAAAAAAAATCTATTTCTGCCCTAAGAAAGGGGAGAAAAAGATTAAAGTGGCTTCAGCATATGAAAGAGCAGTCTTCTCCATGGATGCGCTGATGGAGTCATGTAATCATAGATTTGGCATCCTCAGGTAGCTGAATCCTCAGGAATGACTAAGGTGTCGTTAGCCCAATTACCAGGATATCGTTCTGAAGGCAATTAAAAGGATAGGAGTGACAGGACCTAGGAGGATAGGGAACAAGAGCCCTATTAGCCTGTGGCTACAAAATATACACAGAATATGGGAGCACCTTCGAAACTAACCAACATAAAACTTAGGTCCCAATAAAGTTGGTTAGTCTCAAAGGTGCTCTCAGTCTCTGTGTCTATTTAGGAAGTAGGAACTGTCCCAGATTAGTAGATCCATTTATAATATTTGTTAATTCTCTCTCTCTCTCTCTCTCTCTCTCTCTCTCTCTCTCTCTCTCT